ATATGAGAGAAAAAAACGGCGGCGCGAAGACGGAGATGACGGCGGTAATAGTGTTGCCGATAGTTGAGCCGACGGTAACCGGAAATCCGGGGGCTGAGCGGTGGTGGAAGCAGTTGGCAATGGTGGCMRCAGTGGCGGTATTTACCACAACAGCATCATATATATTATTTTGTATATTAAATTACAACAACAACAACAACGTCGACAACGGCAATAAAATATCGCACAACCGACGCGCTTTAATTCGCATCACACGCGGAGATAGATTTACACGTTTCAGACGTCGGTCGTGGGTCATATGATGTCCGTCTCGTACACTTTGCTGACGGTCATCTTTGTCGTCGTCGTCGCGGCATTGGCCTTGTTRTTTGCCGTCGATCGTTGCTTTTCGGCGGCGTCTTCGTTGGCCGCGGTGGCAGTGGCGCTAGTGGTGACGGCGGAGGCAAGCTGAGTGAGCGAACCCGATATGGGGGCGGCGGCGCTCATGGACAGCCCCATCTTCAGCAGTAGGTTGCCTTCGCTGCCCGTCTTCTTGAGCTGGAGCAGGTCGGGCGGCGGCTGCGTCCGTTGCAACTGCTGCAGCCGCGTGTACTGCTCCTGCAGCGCTTTTTGCTTCTTCAACAGTTCCTGGTGCCGCTGCTCCAACTGTTCCTGTCTGGTGGTCGTCGCGACCGCTGTCGGCACGGCCGGCGACGGGAGCTGCTGCGCGGTCGCCACCGCGGGTGGTTCGGGCATGGGCGGTTTGCCGCAGCCGCTAAGCGCCACGGTAGTCAACGACCCCTTCCGGCTTGGCGGGCTGCCGCCGGTCGATGCAGACGACACCGAGCCCCTGGGCGTTGACGGTGGGGCCCCCACTGAACTGCCCGCCGTGGTAGGTGATGCCACAGGCGACTTGGAACTGGTACGCGGTGGAGGCGGCGGGGGCATACGCTTGTTCTGCAGGTCGGGCGTCCGTTCGGGTACGGGCGGCTTGGCCCCTGCCTCCGAAGACGTGCTGCTCAGACGCCGCAATACCGGTTTCGGGGCGACCACGACCGCCGGCGCGGTGACCGCCATTGCTTCTACCGCCGTTGCTTCTACCACCGTTGCTTCTACCACCGTTGCTTCTATCGCCGTTGCTTCTACCGCCGCTGCAGACTCCACTGATTCCGTCGTCACCGCCGGAGTAGTCTCCAGTTCGTCTAGCAGAGTGTCGAGTGCGTTCTCCGCACCTGCTGGCTCGCGCTTTCCAGTACTACCGGTGCCGTTGTCTGTTCCTGTTCCGGTCTGCTCCACGACACTCCCYTGTCCAGCGACACACCCCTGCGAAAATCACATGAAAACTCATTTCAATAACGCACGGTCGACCGTAACGTACTTTTGCACACGTGACGTCATTAAGAGGATTTCAGCGTAATATTTTTTTTATCTCTCCAACCCACGTGCGCTTGGACAAAACATATTTGGCGCTAAATCATAGCTTTTTGAGTAATCTTTTGCGGTAAAATCAACTGTAAAAAGAATTACAGAGGAAAATATTTTTGAGGGTTTGACAACGAAATATCGGTTATACATTTAATTATATATTATTTGGCTCAAAGAATGAACTTTTTTTAACTCTAAGTTGCTGACCATAATTATGTTTGCAATTATTGGTTTTGTTACAATAAGATTACTCGCATRAAAACAATGGAAAATGTGTTTTTTTCGCAAACATGTTTCGTCTATGCGTTACACGCAGGCCAACGATAGAGTTAAAGAGTCAATCGTATACGCTGACATCCTCTGAATATTATTTATGATAATAAAAAGAAGGAAATAATTAAATACGATAGTATATATAATATTACGACGTGTATCAGGATCTTGCTGATATAATATGTAGATCGTTTCGCAAAGAGGACGCCGGTCGATCTATATAATAACATGCAACTATAGATCATTCGGTAACCGGCGGCTACCACCACAATATCGGTCACGACTGCAGGTCAATACGTGGATTGACGAAAACAGCACTTCCGCSTACACATCAATATAATATTTAAATCGACATGGCGTACTCTTTACGTGTTRACACGTCGTGCGGTGATCACGAGTTATATGGTTTATATGTTTTATTTTTCTATAATATCGATAATATTCGATTCGTTGTGAGGAGCGCGAGTGACTGTATTTCAATCGAAATAATTGCTCTGAACTGTATGTACAAYATAAGAGTTATCGGCAGAGTGTAGTTATTTTTTAAAATCGTGCTCCGGTGTGATTATAATAAATTTATTCGAAGTCATTAAAACGATTGGACAAAATCGTCGAACGTCTATCGTATGATTTGTTATCCCATGGCATAAACGCGTCGTAGTCGTTGGTCTTTATTCGACAGACAATACCTACATGGGGTTAGGTACGGTTTTGCATGAAGGAATATTGTAATAAATTAAGTTTTTCATTTAATATCTCTCGTAGTGGTCCAGAAATGGTATTATATTATTATGTTATGTTTGGTAACCTTAATATATWAAATTTTATAATTATTTATGTGGGCCTTTATAAGATCATGATTTTTTGTACCGGAACAATCCAAAGGCATCTGGGTAGGTATAGTGTGTGTGTGTGTATTTAGTTCACAAATGCATTTTTTTAGAGTTTTTCGGTTATAAATGTATTTTTCGAAAGGACATTTCAAGTCCTATCTCGTTTCAAAAGTAGGCATATTATAGTAGGTAATAACCTACGATTCGTTTTAGAAGAGTATTAAGTCGTACGATCGAGATGACGAGATCGTGACGGTCTATCTATTCGTGGAATTGACAGGAAATTACGTTCTAAGCGAAAACTATTGTCGAATGACTCCCAGCAAATGCCTTATAATATGTACGTACCTATATATATCTATAACATGTACCTATATAATATTATATAATTAACCGGTAACATGATTATACCCGTGGTAAGCATATCTTGGGACTTGGGAGGTGCACGAAATTAAATTTGTTTTTTAACGCGCGTGTATAGAAGGGCTAAACTATATTAATGTTTTAACAGAAATCCAATTAGGTACGAATAATAATAATAATAATTTTTTTTACGCGTCTTCAGTCGTGACGAGGTGAGTATAGGTCGTCGTCATATCATTATTATAATATTATATACTCAAGTCCAATCACTTTTTCTCGAAATGATTGAAAGACAGCCATCACGCCAAATACTCATAATATTACATACCATATACAATGTAATAGTGTKATTAATTATTGTGCGCARAAATATTATATAATCTACRTCCAAGCTGTAATATAATTTAAATATGAATTACGTTTATGTGCAGAACGAAATAAGCATTATGATCAGCGTTTGTGCGGARCAAGACTAACCTGATGCTACGTACTATGTCTTATAGAAAATGATAACATGTTGAACGCAGGTAAGTATATAAAACACATTTCC